TGCGCAGTTTGGTGAGGGTGTCTATACCTCACAGGCTGCCTGCGCAGTTTGGTGAGGGTGTCTATACCTCACAGGCTGCCTGCGCAGTTTGGTGAGGGTGTCTGCCTCGCAGACTGCCTGCGCAGTTTGTTGAGGGTGTCTGCCTCGTCTGTGCCTCGCAGACTGCCTGCGCAGTTTCACGGACCTGGAGGAGTTGGACGAGACGGAGCTCTACATGTGCCACAAGTGTAAAAAACGACAGAAATCCACAAAAAAGTTCTGGATCCAGAAACTGCCAAAGGTTTGGGCTTTTGTTCATATTTTCTGAAATAAAAATGAGGATGGACTTTGGTGGGATTTAAAGCTGTATGGTTCTTGCCAATAAATGCATTGAATGAACTATGATGGTGGCAGAGACCTGAGAGGCGTCGGAATGCCCACCTGGTTGTCTCACGCTGCCCTGTGTTCCCTCAGGTCCTCTGTCTACACCTGAAGCGATTCCATTGGACGGCGTATCTCCGGAACAAGGTGGACACTTACGTGGAGTTCCCACTGCGGGGCCTTGATATGAAGCGCTATTTACTAGAGGTGTGTGTGTTTCCTGGGGGGGGGGGGGTGTCTGGGTTCGGATCGGATCAGGCCGAAGCTGACCCTGTGCTCTATCCCCGATCGCAGCCTGAGAACATCGGGCCAGAGAGCTGCGTGTATGACCTGGCTGCTGTTGTCGTCCATCATGGTTCTGGGTGAGTCCACATCACTCACATTATGAAAATATGCACGTTAAACAGGCATGCTTACCTGCCATTCATCATAAGGAGGTTCTATTGCATAATAATAATAATAATACCCGCCTTTCTTGGAAATTATGATCTAGTCCATAGACCCTCCCCAGATACCTGATCTGGTTCTGTCCTCTATGCTGGATTTTTTTTCCTTTTCTCTCTATTACATTCTGCCATTGACCATTAGATGGTGCTGCTGTATAATAATAATAATGGTGCGTTCGATTATCTCTCGGAACTCGGAAATTCCGAGGTGAGTGACATCACGTCAGACAATCTCCCGTTCGAAATGCCACATCTCGGAACAAACATGGCTGCCTCCATGAACACGCTGTTGTGTTGTTGCTTTATATCTTAGCAGATTTGGAGTGAGATTGTCTCTCGGGAAAAAACATACAAAAACAAACCAGTCAAACCATATTAAAAGCTTTTAAAAATATTTTAGTCCATTCATAGTGATATTCTTTTTTCAAGATGCAAACAAACTACAAACAAAAGACACTAACAAGTCTGGTAAAAATCTGATATTGCGTGCTAGGATACTGTATACGGTCATGATATGGTATCCTCTAAATCGAACACGTGCAGTTACATTTATAACTTAATACATTTAATAAAATAAACATTTTAAAAATAGAATTACTGTTGACTGTGTAAGCCGCCATGTTGAAATGACGTCACAGGGGAAACTCAGACAACAAAATTCTGTCCGACATAATCGTCATAAAGGACGCGTGTTTCCAATGGGAAGTGACGTCTTTTGTGACGTCTTCACCCAAGTTCCGACTCTGAGAGAGATAATCAAACGCAGGATAATAATATATTGTGAGTCGATGGTTCTCCTGCATGATGCTCATAAATGTTCCTGCACGTCATTGTGTTTGAACTGCTTTCTGTTCTTGGCTGTCAGGATTAGTACTACAGGGGTATTTTTTGGAGGGCAGGGCGGTGGAACGGTGCACCCCCCACATTCTGCTCCCTCTGAAGGCACACGATGCTCCGTTGGTTCCAACAGGGTCGGGTCCGGCCACTACACGGCATACGCCAGCCACGAGGGTCGCTGGTTCCACTTCAACGACGGCACGGTAACGCTGGCCGACGAGGAGACCGTGGCCAAAGCCAAGGCCTACATCCTGTTCTACGCGGAGCGCCCGGGCCGGTCCGGGGCCGAGCCCAAGCTGTGACCAGCACCGCTGCCTTCCGGCGGCTTCCCCGGCCGTGTTCACAGCCACACACGACCCAGATGACTTACCTCCATTCCTCGTGCACTTTTATCAAGTTGCTCTTGTGATTATTGTTTTTTCCTTTTTTTTTTTTTTATTACACACATCTTTTAATTGGGTGAGAGCCGTCTGCTTCAGCTGAAAGATCGTTAGAAACTACACCTTTGTAGCGGTTTGTGTTACATTCCCGTTGAAGCTCGTTAGAGAAAATCCCTGTACCATCATGAAGAATGTGTCTCATAGACAGAGACTGGCAAGGCCTGCAGGACCTATTTATAACGCCTGAACCTAGTGGCATTTTACATGATCCGTGAAACTAATTCCAACACTTTTTGTTTACCACACTTCTGAAAGTAGTTTAGATTACCCCTGCCCCCCCCCCTACCCTATCAGTGTTTTAAACTGAGTGCAGATCATGTACACTTCAGACTGAAAGGCCTTTTTTTCCCCCACTAGTATTCTTAATTTCTCAGTGGCACAGTCGCAGTAGGGGGGGGGGGGGGCTAAAGCAGCAGCACACCGGCTGACAGAGGCTGCCTTATGGGGGGGGGGTCAGGAGCCAGCGTGTCAGCCGGTGACCCCACACGCAGGATTAGTGTGTATCTGAACGTAGGACATTGCGGTGATGTCATCAGCTGCTCCCACAAGCGCATCCGCCTCAGAAACTTGCTGGGTTAATATCAGTACAAATATCCCAATAACATCCCTTTTTTGAACATACTTGGATTTATTAAATAGTGTAAACTGTTGAATTTTGATTTCTTAGAATCTTTTTTGACTGGGTAGTTTCATTTCTGAAATGTGAATAATTGCTCATTATTGTGCTGCTCCTGCACGGTAATCAGATTTTGGAATAAATTACCCAGGTACACTAAGAACCTCAGTCAAGCTTTTGCGCCAGTGCAAAAATATTTTTTAAAATAAAATGTTTGAATTCTGCTTTCCTTTTTCCTTTGATTCTGTTGGCAAACATTTCATTTTAAAATCTATAAAATGAAAGCCCAGAAAGGGCTTAAATGTACAAGACTAAACTGTATCTATCAGTCATACAGACCAAGAAACTAAACTGTACAGAATCGGTCCTTCGCCTGAATGCAGTGTTCTGCGAGTGATAATAGCTGCCACTATTTGAGGAGCAGAGAAGCTGTTTTCAGCTACAAAAATGAAACTTTACACATATCTCATAATAACCTCAATGTTCCAGAAACATTCCTCAATGTTACATGCGATTGTATGCTGGTGATGTAGCAGTTTGATTTGGCAGTATTTGCAGTGCAGGCTGTATGATGGTGCATATAACGTCTTTCACCGCGGGGCTGAGCTCCATGGGGAACTTGTCGGTCTCTGGCACATGCCGGCGTTTGTGACAGGAAGTGCGGTAACCTTTTCATCCCCATTGTGTCGACTTCACACGTGGTTTTATCTTATATGTAGAGGCCGGTGTTTGACCTCTATGCCCCCAAATGTCAGGGCTCTCTGCCCAGGCTCACAGGCTCCTTCCCAGCATGCACCAGCTGCAGCGCCTCTCTGACGGCACAGAAATACGACTCGCTCCCATGCGGATGTCGGGGGTAACAGCTGTTTTTTCACGCAATTCGCTCGCAGGTGTCTGGCCACTCTGTGCTTATTTACAGAAGCTCTGATCTTAGCTAGGTCTAAAATAGTTCTGACATTCCAGATCATCCGTAACTCAGGTTTAGTCACATGGTATGGGTCGTGATCTATGGGCGGATCCCGTCTGTGGGATGCAAGAGGCAGAACAGCAAGGTGCCAGGCGCACGCCCTGTTCCAATCACCAGTAAAGCAGGCCTAACCCTAATCCCCTGTTAGAGCAGGCTTAACCCTAATCCCCTGTTAGAGCAGGCTTAACCCTAATCCCCTGTTAGAGCAGGATTAACCCTAATCCCCGGTAAAGCAGGCCTAATCCTAATCCCCAGTAAATCAGGCCTAACCCTAATTCTCTGTTAGGGCACACCTAACCCTAAACACATTAGGGCAGGACTAACCCTAATCCCCAGTAAATCAGGCCTAACCCTAATCCCCGGTAAAGCAGCCCTAACCCTAATCCCCAGTAAATCAGGCCTAACCCTAATTCCCTGTTAGGGCACACCTAACCCTAAACACATTAGGGCAGGCCTAACCCTAATCCCCAGTAAATCAGGCCTAACCCTGATTCCCTGTTAGGCAGGAGGGTGACTGCAGACTGGTGACCCAGTTCTGCTCCTGGCTGCTTTGCTCTTCTGAGTTTAGACCCAAGCAAACAAATCCTCTCTCCGAGACGACAGGCTGCTGCCTCTGATCTACCTGAAGAGTAATTAAGAGCAGGGTTGCTGGCCGAGCGTGCGCTCTGCCCCTAACCCTACACAACCCCACAGGGGGACTGCGGCCCCCTGCCTCTTCTCTCCTGTCACAACCTCTTCAGAATAATCCACACGCAACCTTTCCCTGCATTCGCTGTGTCAGCATCAGTTTCCTAGTTCTCTGTATTGGGAACCTCAGACACAAAGCAGCACAGATGACTAAGTTCCTGCTGATTCAGTTGGACTCCGACGGCAGTACACAGAGCTGCTGTCTCCTGTCGCAGAGGAAGCGGTTCGATTGTCACCCTTCTGGGATTTCCTTACAGAGAGCTCCCCACTGTTTGACAGGCTGTCCGCTTTCAATCCGGTGACTAAAGTTTGCTGGAAGTATGTGTACAAATGACACACAAATACTGTATAATATCCAAAGAATAAACTAACCCTGACCCTTGGTCCCTAACCACTAACCTTAACTCCACTGATGCTGAGAATCATCAGCTGAAAGGTCACACTCCCTCCTGTAGTGCGAAGCTGAGCAGTCAGGCTGCCTGCAAATCATATTGGGCCCCACCTTACATGTAGCTCACCGGAGACCAATAAAACACCCCCATCCGCTCCCCGTGTCCATCACTGCTGTCCCAGACATGCCCTGCTGAGGGACACTCAGCCAATCAGGATCAGCTCATCATGGAGCCAATGAGGTTTCAGTCCTCTGCTTCCTGAGAAGGTAAATGGCTTCTGCTAAGTACATTGAGGTTTCTAAAATGTTTCCTTGAGAATGAGCATGAGAGACTCCAGCTCACTGTCCTGCTATGGGAACAGTCAGAAGGGGATGTTCACTGTGCCAGAAATGTCCACATTTGCTCTTCAGGGGTTTCTCGGTTGAGGAAGCCAGCATAAGACGAACAGCAAGAAACGCTGACCTTCCGTTCTCGCAGAAGTCCCTAAAACCGTGTCTGCGGTGCCAACGATGAGGTTCTTTCCGGGATCCAGAGCAACATATGGATCCATTTTCATCAGCCAGAGATTATGCACAAATCTGGGCATGTTAAAAACAGATTGTGATGCTTTCAGAGGACATGATGCAAAGGATTCTGGGAGACGGCCACCAAGTCCTTCTCTGCCCCCGTTTGCCATGAAGCGATGTATGGAATCTGGAATGGATAGAAGGCAAAGAAAAAGTATTATGTTAAACTAAAGAACATGGATTTTCTTACACAATACCCTCCTGTAATGGGGAAATTGTTTGTACCTTTTAAACTAAACTGAATTGAACCCCCCAAAGTCAATCCGCAGATGTGTGTCCTGAGCAGAGCACACACATTTCCTGGCTCACATCACACACACGTGTAGAGCTTAGTGTTGAATTCCCCCCCCCCACCGCCCCCCCTCCATAGCAGATGCTCCATTCCAATGCTTTTCAGCCTCCCTCAGATTGGCCCCTTCCTTCCACCGGGTGTTAGTTCCTCCTGACCCCCATGAGAAGTATTACCCCCCCCCCCCACACAGCTGGAACAGACCACCCCCAGCTGAAGGTATTCACCTGCCCACTGGGGAGCTATATTCCTGTCAATCTGTGTGGGATCAGGATAATCAGCTATTTACCCTGAATAATCCCAAAATGATTCCCTCTACCCTGTCAGGGTGCCTGCCCTGCACCAGTAAATGCCTCTTTGTAATGCTGACATCAGTCAAAGGGCTTCTTGTGTGTATTATAATAATATGCAGCAGATACGTCCATCCAAATGAGTTATTTCTCCTTAACACCTTTGCACACTTATTACAGAGGATACCAACAAAGTGGGAATGGGAGATGCGGCTCAAACTGGCGAACGTTTAGCCCACTTCCTGAACCAGACCGGCATGAATCCGGGGCGCCCCCTGCTTTCTGATTCGCTCCAAGTCCCCCCCCCCCTCCCGTGACTCTGATCAGAGTAAGTAGATGTTCGGGAAGGAAACCAGACTCCCCTTTATTCCTGAGATGACCTTCTATTTTTTTTTACCCATAATCCCATCACTCCGCAGCCCCCCTGAGTGTGCCCCGCCCCCCTTGCCCCAGCACCTCCCACACTCTGCACCGCACTCATCTCACATGCGGCACAGTGTTACAATTATGTAAGGCTTTATGTAACTGGGATCAGCGTTTCTGGATGGCGTCCCCAGACTTGCACTAGCTGCATCAGCTGCGATAGCTGCATGAGCTGCGATAGCTGCATTAATCATCCATCCATCCATCGCTTCCTAGACAATATATGGTCACGTGCTGTAAAACATATTTTGTCAAAACAATTCATGCAGCTGAATGAATGCAAATTACAGCAAATGTGGGCAAGACTCAATTCTCTGTAAGATAACATCTCAGTAAAGGTTTGACGTAGCTTGGTGGGTCAGTATGCTGTGATCGGAAGCTTGCTGGTTCGAATCCTAGGGTCGGCCCAGTGATGTCACTGCTGGGCCCCTAAACCAGGCCCTTCAGGGACCTGCTGACCCTGATCTCTCAAAAACACGGCATTTGGATAGAAGATTCAAACACAGAACCTGCTGGCATTTCCAAACTTCCAAAATACTTTATCTTGTCCCATAGAAATAGCTGTTACGCATGTATAGGCCCTTAAACTGGATGAAGAACAACAGTTTCCCAGCTGAATGCGATTTACAACATTCCCCCCGGAAAGCAGAGTCAGGCGGGATACACAGACGTGGTGCAGAATGAGCAGCACACCAGGAGCGGCATTCATACCGGGGCAATGCTGCAGCACTCCCCCTGCGCAGCCCACTCTGGAGACCAAGCAGAGCTAAACGCTCCAGCGCAGCAAACATGCGGAGGCCAGTGTGAGGCGCTGCAGCTCCGCGGGGATCAGCCGGCGGCCTGCCAGCCCCAAGAATAGAAATGCGTTACGTAACAGAGCGGCGTGTGGAAATAGGTTAGAGGAATGCTCTGTGCCGCCATGTGACCACTCTATATCTGTCTGTGTTTCACAGCCGTCCGGAAATGCGTGAGGCTCCGACGAGGGGGGAGGGGGACCTCCCCCCATATGACCGATTTTAAAAGGATGAAAATTCTCACACTTTTTAAAAGTAACATTTTTATATAGATACTATATGAGTAACTATTAAGTGGCATGTATCATTTCCTGCGTGAGTACGGGTTTACAACACCACAACCCATAATGTGGCCCTTAATTCATAAAAAATACATTTTACACTTATAAAGTGTGAATCTAAATCTACTGGAAAAAACCACAGGCCTCAGCTGCATAAACATGCGAAATGTGTCGCATGTGGATGACATCATACTGACTTTTACTGACCTCAAAGTTGTTATTACAATTATGCCCAATAAACGAGCAATATGTGCTGAATGATGAATGTGGCAGGCTTGGACTGAGCTGGATGTTCACCCTGGCGTGATATTTTTTGTGTTCCTCTGCACCCTGGCTCACCCTGACCGGGACACATTCTGCCTCGCAGAGCTGAGCCCCCCACTGCCCCCCCCGTAGCGCCACAGCTTTGCTCACCTTCTGCTTCATATAGTTTTTCATTCCACCGCATCAAGTCCCCGGTCTGACCCCGCCCCTCCAGCTCTCCAGGAGCACGTCACACACGACAGCACTGATGGCCAGCATCACTCAAACCAAAACCATGTGCAACTCGCAGTGCATCGCCCCAGTGCATCGCCCCAGTGCATCGCCCCAGTGCATCACCCCAGTGCATTGCTCGACCTCTGATTCTGTCCACAGACACATTCATGTCCATCGCCAATGGGCTGTGTAAACCATATAGCTCCCTACCGCTTCTGGCTTGCAGGTTAATCAGTGGCAAGATCAAGCCAGACACCGTGTGGGATTGACGGGCAGTCACATGCATGCCTATGAAAATGATCTTCTGTTTAATGCTACTTCCTAAAATATCGGAGTGGAACATGAAGGTAGACGACACCCGCGGGACTTCACCTTTTATCACTGTCAATAAATAACCACAAAACAAGTCATACAGACACCATTCTGATGATGAAACAATATGAAAGAATAATAATGCAGAGGAACTGAGACATGGGTTTTGCCACATTTAATTCCCAGAGTTTGGTAATTCAGGTCCAGAGAGTAAAAGTCCAGACGAAGATTTTGTTTCAACCAGTTGAGCATAAAGAGTCACAGTCACAGAGTACTCAGATGGTTGGTTGAAACAAAATCCTGGTCTGGACTTTTACTCTCTGGACCTGAATTACCCAATGGATGATTCCATCCATCCATTATCCTATTCAGGGTCGCAGGGGGGGGCGTTCAGTGCCTATCCTGGAGGCCACAGGCGCAAGGCAGGGAACAACCCAGGAGGGGACGCAAACCCATCGCAGGGCACACTCACACACCATTCCATCTTAATCCAGTGGCGGGGAAGTGAACGTCACCAAGGAGTTGGGGGCCAGTGACGATGGGAGGGGTTAGTGATCCCTGTGTCACAACCACGCGTCTGCGACACCTCAGTGCATCAATAAAAAGAGCATGTGGCTGTTTCTGCCACCCCCACGGTGACACCCGAGTCACAGCACTGCACACGGCCCTCGCCTCGCTGCCACATAAAACAGAACAGCGAATCGACAGAGTACATATAAAAACCAATGTTATCAGTAGCTGTAAAATGAATATGCAAACTGAAAGTGCGGGACGGTATAGTGTGTGTAAAATGGCATGTTAACTACAGGAGGCGCTGTAAGCCGTACACTCAGCGAACCCAGAATCACGTTAAGCCCCATTCTCCTGAGCACTAATGATCAGCAGCGTCACTGCATAGCCACATGAGAACCCTTCACCCTGTCTGTGTGATCAGTGACAGCCTCGTCCTCGAGGCAGAGCAAGTGTAAGGCATTATAATCAGGACATTGCTACACACGGCAGTGACGGCACACACAAAGCAGCCCTTCCTCAGTATGCGTGTGGGACTGTGATGTCAGGCGATGGAATCTCAGTTTCTGGCTCAGAAATGAATCTTTATTCTTCGGAGCTGGTGCTTATTTGAAGCACAGCAGGGGAGGCAGAGGGAGTAGAATGAGGGTCATTATCTTTGGAAAACAAAGAGTCCTGCATATGCAGAGTCCGTCAGGACGCGTGGAGGGGGGGGGGGGCGCTATTGCCGCAGACAGGGCCAGCACAGAGCCGCACGGTGCGAAACTCTCAGGCAGGGTGAAAGGAGGAGGAGGAGGGCACGACCCGAGGGGGCACTTTGAGATACAACTGCAGTCTGGAATGTTCTGGAATCTCCAGAATGCCAGAGGTATTTAGTAGAGGTCACTAGTGGAACTTGATATAATGCAGTTTCCTGATGCTACGTATCAGCCGACCAGAGACCTTGGAGACCCAGCACATCACCTGATCCTGTCCAGTGGTACGTTTCCTCAGGAGCGGTGAGGTCAGTGGGAACCCGCCTGCCTGTCTCACTCTGCTGCGAGGGGGAGGGGCTTGGCAGCCCAACCTACTCTCAGTCAGCTGATAAGGAACAGGAAGTCGATGAGGGTGGTGGTGGTGGTGGGGGGTGGGGGGTGACGGCTCTCTCAAACCACGCAAGAACTCGGAATCCTGCCTCAGCTGCAGCCTCAGCACAGTTTGTGTTTATGGAAACTACCGACTACCATCTACATGCGGGAGGAGATTTCATTGTGGCACTAAATAAAAACAGACTGCTGGTCGCTACACTCAAGCACTCCTGAACACTCTGGGAAACGCGTGCCAATCCGAACGCACGGTCATCCGGCATCAGACAGAAGCGAGCCATGCTCCCTGTGCGGCCAATCAACCGTCTGCTCCTCAAACCCCGCCCCCCAATTGAACTTTAGCATGGGCATAAACACCTTTCCCATCATGCAGCTGTGCATTCAACTTCCTGACTAAGGAACCCATCTGAGAACGTTCCGCTACATCAGGAATCTCGCCTCACGTCCCCTATAGCATGAATGCTCCGCCCATTCAACTGCAGGCACAAAATAGAGGTCGGGATGTTCTGTTTCCAGGCTGGCATTAGTCATACGTCCTTCCGGGTCTGTCTTCGTGATCACAGCCCCCCTCTCCACCTGCGCAGGTGGTCCCTGCATGCCGGAAGTCACCAATGCCGCATTTGTGCCTGTAAGCATGACACTCCATCGTGAAAACAAGAAAGAAATCTCTGCAATCTCTATTCATCCAGAGACCTCACACTTCTGCCTGTTGTTTCTGCCCCTCCGCCTCGAAGGTTTCAAAAAATAAATAAACAGCGAGCAATTCAGGAGATCGTAGCTAGCTGGTTGACAGGCCCATGCTTCTGGAGTGGAAGAAGAGGACATTTGAGGGACAGCAGAATACTGACGACCCAAATGCCAAGGAGATACCTGCTGGTTAGAGGGTAGGAGGGTACATACTGGGTTAGGGTTAGGGGTTAGGGCTATGGCAGGGGACACTCAGGGGATGAGGCAAGGGACATCATGAAATGGCGTTTTCACACAGGCAAGCTCGGAACCTGACAGGGAGATGCGGATTATACCAACCATACGGAGGCAGCGTGTTCAGGCGCCATCTCCGACTTTCCGTAACTCAATGAATCAGCAACGTGGCTTCCTCTGGGTTCGCGGCGAGTTGGACACAGCTGTCAGATTAGCGGGGGGCTGGTGAAGGATTCGGAACCAGATGCTCCTCGGAGCGCCCAAGCTTGAGGGCACGATTAGAAGGAGCCACAGCCTGGAGCTGCAGACGTCTGAAGGCAGGAGGTGAAGCACATGAACACGTGCAGCCTGCAGCGGACCGCGCACGTGGGAGGAACTCTTAAAGCGTTACGTAAAGGGTTTTAAAAGCCGCCGTTTTTGGTCCTCTGTCGTAGGTGTAATTAATGCTGATAATGTTTTGCAGAATGAAATTAGGGATGGTGCTTAGCTTATGAATTAAAATCCATTAACATGAATCGAAAGGAAATTCATGAATATGGGAGAGTAGAACTGGGACGTAGAAGCTGTTTCCATCATGACACACGTTTATACACGAGCTGGGATACTATATCGGAGCATCAGATAATCGCAGAATAGCCCCCCAACACTCCACATGGCCCCCATCTCCAGGAAAGCTAGAGGCTTCTGCATCACAAGCAACACGTCCCTCACACTAGCAAAAGCTGTCACATGTAAAAAAAAAAACAGAACATGCCCCCGCAGACAGGGGGAGCTATTTAAATCCCCCTCTGAGTCTGTCCGGTCACTGCTGGTTATTCACCCGGCGTTTAACCGTCTAAATCCGTCTGCTGCGGGTTATTTTAACCAAGCCCCTCTTTCCTCATAAATATCTCCGACACCATCTCCACAAGTGTCTTTTGTGTCACGTATGAATGAGCAACTTCAGTGAGCTCACGACCTTCCTGTCAAACAGGGTGAGTCTGCTGGCCGGTCGCTACGCCGCTATGCCTACATGAGCACTCAGTGTAAGCGTGGCTATACTTCACCACGGTAAAGTCACGGTAAAGCCTGCGGAGCGTCTCCTCCTTCACGTCCCGCTGACACGCCGACGATTATCTCAGGGAAGAACACATTCACATTTTCTTTGCTTAGGGGACATTTGCATCCAGAGTGAATTGCAGTTTGCGCCAACACACACAGCTGGACATTTTAAAGACCTCCCTCAAGGGTCCAACTGCAGCTGTCAGGTTACAAGTCTTCAGGTTACGTTTAACCGCCGTCCGACATTAACAGATGCTAGAGAAGCTTTTCTGAATTCATTTACAAGGTCTGTTTTTACAGACATTTAAAGCATTTCCTCTGCCACTCTGTTTATAAAGCGACATGTCTCTTAAAGCACCCCCCCCCCCCCCCACGTGTGTGGAATGGCCAAAACAAACCTTGGGCCCCCGACTCTAGAGCGCCCCCTACAGTCTGGGGACCTGCTCGGTGTCAGTGTCGGCACTGGTGCAATTTTCCCTCTGCTGGCAGCAGGTCCATTTAAAGTGTGAAAAAGCAGGACCTGTTCAGGCACGTCTACCATCACCCAGGCGACCCGTGGACCTAAGCGCAGACCAGGCAGCTGATCCGATTTTATTGAGAAACTCAGATGACAGCGGCATGTGGCCAGACTCTCGACATGAAAGGGAGACTCTGCTCTTTATGTCTGCTGTATGCACTCACATCTCCAGACTTAATTTTATAGCTGCTACAGGTGAGATTACAAAGAATCTGCATCAAGCAGCACCGCTGACGCCAAGAGTCTGATGCACTTTGTCCATTTATCCGGCTGGACGAACGCAGCTCCAATAATGACTAAACCCACATGGCCTAACATTCAAACTCTGTTGACTTTATAATATTATTCGCTATAAACAAGATATAAATGCAGCCAAGTGATATTAAACTTTATGAAGTTTTAACACCATATGGCACATGACAACAATACCAAGAAGCTGCCTTAATGTTTACTGTGTATGGTGTGCATGTTTGGCTCTGTGAAGATTCGTCTTGCAGACCTATTGGGCAGTCTATGCTTGTCTTGGATGGCAGGGGTTGGGGGCAGGAAGTCCTGCAGACCCCACACCCCCTACTACACCCACACTGATGTAAAGATGACGTTACCCTCCTGTCTCATTCAATCGCTGCACAGCATTCTAGATAAACTGTCACGGAATGTCAATTTCAGACAATACCTACCAATCATTGACAAGAAACTCACAAGAAACACTATCCTTTGTGTGCAACGTAGAGGAAATTAAATGCTAACAAGTGATATTTAAAGCCGGTGCTTTGGCTAAACAGCGGAAGCGGAGACATCACAAGGTCTCAGTGCAGAGAGCCAAGGCTGCAGGTTCTTAACAATGTTTAACAGTTTCTTCTTTAAAGGAAATGGCATGTGCCTGCCAGAAATGCCACAGAAGGGCGCGATAAACCCCCAAGGCCATTTCAGAGAAAGGGGCCGACCGGGGGCCAAGGGCTTTTTAAACTTTCGAAGACTAGGATCAGCTCTAAACAAAGGGTTTATTAACCCAACCCGGGTCACCCAAAGTCACGGGCGTATGGGACCCACACCTGGAGATTGCTCCCCCTGCTGGATGGAGGGCTGCCTGGCAGTATATGTGTCACCCTCTAATGGCCTAACCCCTATCACCCTGACTGCATGCACCCCTAGGGGGCAGCGGAGGGGCACGGATACCCTGGCAGATTCTGGGGGTCCAGCACCCGATGAGTGTCCTTAAATACGAAACATCATATATAAAATTTAACAGGGAACCAACGGTAACATTTTGTCAGGGGGCCCAGAATTTCTAGGTATGTCATGCTTACTGTAATGGAGAAAACAGTGACATGAGTATATAGACCTGTGAGCCAATATATCTGACAGCCTTGAGTGAAAAATCCTGCTATGAGATATTCTTTTGTTCCACCAGAGTCTCCCTGACAACTATTTAAATACATACTGATCTATGAATAAGCAAATAAAGGTATAACCGACATACTAAATTAAATAGGCTGTTTAAATCGTTTTAACCGATAAAATTGCTAATACTAAGTATCAGTTCCTGCTGAAAGTAATAAGTTAGTAATACAAATTTCTGCATAGCCTGAAACGCATCGACCACCTTTCATTTGACTGCGGGTTAGAGTCAGACTGTATATTTTGGTTATGACAAATAAAATAAATAAATGCAAAGCCGCGGCAGTAAAGCGAGAGCTCAGTGCAGGGGCTGAGCAGTTTTATTTGGATGATATCCGTGGCGGGCTCCAGTCATGTGTGGCCCTATTCATCTGTATGTGGAGCAGCCCGGAGTTACGTAACAGCGCTAAAATACTCGGCGGTCACATGTGCGCGCAGCTCCTGGGCGTTTCGGCGGCTGCACGCGGCGGTCGGAGATTCGCTGGCAAGCGAGCTGCATGCGCGGCGGCCGCCCCGTTTACCCTCCTTGGAAGGGGTGCCTAGGGGGGGACAAAAAGCCAAAACAGACGGCTATTGTCGCAGTTACGGGGAACGTGACAGATCGGGGGGGGGCGGCCATTTAAAGCCACAGTACGCACTGCCCCCCCAGCTCAGATACAGCCTGTATCACAAAAAAATTAAACCCCAAACCAGCTTCACTCTCACTAAAAAACGGTGTTTCAAACCGCTTGGATTAAGAGAGATAGATTATGGTATTTCAGAATAAAATGCATCATACTGCACTAATGATAGCGCCGATCACGTGGCTCTGTTAATCATTCATCTGCTGCACACATCTAAACCAAGCATGCGGACAGCTATGGCGGGATCGCCATAAAGGCCGGCTGAGTACCTGTCTGGCCGCCACGGGTAGCTGACGTTAGATCACAGGATTCCCCGGTCTTTGAAACGCCCTGGCTGAAGACGGCCGGTCCTGGTCAGCGGAGTAAATGGCCGCCCTGTGACCCGCGTACGGTGTGTGACCGGCCCAGTGGGTTAAGAAGGTCGTCGGTTTAACTCGCAGGGTCGACAGGGCGGAATTAACAGCTGGACCCTTGCGATTCGGTTCGTGGTGCATTTGCTGTGGAAAAACCTGCCGAAAACAGGTGAAATACCCTGAGCCAGATGTTAGACTCAACCGCCTTAAATGACAAGTTAGAACAATAATTTGCCTCTACACTCTACCTCGAGCTCTAGACTAAAATTACATATTATCACAAATTATTTTAGTTAGCTTTTGTCCAAAACGAAGAGTAAAGAACACGTTCCAACTAAAATGTTCACTGGGACGTGAAGTTTACTCAGTGTTCTTTTGTTCGGATTTGTACTGATATAAATACTCCAGGAGCTGCAAGAATTGGTATGAATTAGGCCTTCGTGTCTGCGGGGGACACTTTGTTCAGACCGAGGGACGTAGGCGAGCCGCCTCCCGAAGAGGGGAAGTGACTGGCTCACTAATAAAGCCCCCTCCGCGTCACCAGTGAAGCCCTGCTCCCGTATCACTTACTCTCTGATCCATTCTGAATGGAACATTTTTATACAGGAAATATTAAACACGTGGAGTAGCAATAAACCTACTTGATTCTGGTTTAACCCAGACCTGGACCAGCGACGCCATAATCATATAGCGGCCGCGCTATAATCAGCTGACAAACGAATCTTAGGTGGTTTTTATAGAGAAATACTACAATTAAATGAAGCTTGATAAAGCATGCTATCCCCCTTTGGGGATTTTAACAGAAACTCCCCACAATTAACAAGGCAAGCAGGTCTGTACCCAGCCGGTAAGCTATCTCGGTGGCACCTATGGTTGAGTAACACTGGTCCGTGTAACATACCCCCCTTAAGTACACAATGATCTGAGCGTCACCGTGAGAATGTTCCAGAGTCGGCAACAGTAAGGCTATGTGCCTGATTGTGCGTGCATTATTATTAGCCCGAAATTCAATAAGCTTGGGGTGGGCGTCTCCCACACGCGATCACGTTTTTCTGGGCGGACGGTGAGTTAGCCCCCCCTCCTCCCCCAGTCTAACGGGAGCCAGGGAGAGGATTACCAGCGCGGAAAACAGGAAAACAGACATCTACCTCCAAATGACCATCGGTGACACACCAAAAACCCAAAACATTAGTCGAGCTTCCTTTGATACTAAGAGGTCTATGAAAAAGAGTGTCAATCCATGGCACATGTGCCCAGCCAAATGTAGGACATCGTGACCTGCTCTGATTACAATTTAGCCATGAGACGCAGAAGCAGAGGGAAGCTATACGAAAAAGCCTGAAAACATACCATAATGAAAGCCAAATTAATTATAGAATAATTTAAAAATATATATATGTATAATATATGGCCTACAATTTGTTATTATATATACGCCTATATCACAAGAACAACAATAACAACAGTTAAAAATAATAAAAATAATTATTAAGCCAGGGCATGTAATCCGTTCAGAAGATGCTTTACCCAAATTTCAGAAACTTACACCCCGCCAGATGGGGCCTATAGCTATGGAGGATCTGTAACTTAAAAGCTTAAAACAGAAAATGTGACCGATGGGTCCTAGGTGAGCCATTTATATTTCAGGTTTTGATTACAGATATTTTTAAAGGACATGTAATAAATGTTTACTGTAGAGCATGTGACCTTTTCATAAATGACGGATACGTCGCGACAGTTTATAGAGACATACCCTGCTGTATTTTACAATATTCGGAAAACAGGTGAGCTTGGAACGGAGCATCTACTTAAGCAAATGAGCGTTGTAATGGCGGTCTTATACTGCACTGGGAATGTGCCAGAGTCCCAATTAATATGACAGTACAAAGACAAACTCTACTGTAGCAGAAAAGTTGCGACACACTAATTATTTTAAGGGTTATATGAACGTTATTTAAAACAGCATATATGCATTCATATTTTGAGTCCTCGTGGGATGACATTAATTATAGCCTTTCATAATGCTTATACATCGTGTTGAACATCTATTTAGCGGAAGTGAGAAAGTTTCAGTGTTTAATTAGGATATCTAAAGCACATAAATACGGAAACAAATGGAAATCCCAGCAAACATCAGTCTGATCTGTTAAACAGTCACTACCTTCCCGAAACTTTTAGCTAGTCACAATGCAGTGAGGCTGTCAGGCTGTCGAGCACTTAAACAAGACAAGACTGGCTTTCATTCGGACCAAGCAAAGCAAGTGAGACTTGTACGGCAATCCAGAAAAATTAGCTACAAAGTGTACCTGCCCTCCAGTAATGCTATAGCAAAAGAGTACATTTTCGGTAAGCTAATTTATTAAATAAAACTATATATTTCGTTGCCGCTTTTCTTGCGTCTATTGGCGCTCTGCAGTATGACACATCCAACGCTCAGAAATAATCAGTGAAATCAACGCACGCACGTAGCTGTATTCTGGACATATGCTGCATATATGTAACAAAAAAAGCAGTTACCTCCATCAATCCAAAGTTAAATCCCCGCTCACAGTTACCGCACTGCAAGCGACCCCAGCTCCACGTGCCTTGCTCATTACCATCTTATTTACATATGCAAGCGGCAGTCGCCTATGGGATTGAGATGGTCTCCGCGCTCCTTCCTATTGGTCAGAATCGGCTCTCGGAGTTCCAATAAGGGTGTCCGGAGAGGCTGTGCCCGCCTTCCCGGACACGTTGCCTTAGGAGAAGTTACACGGGCCGCGTCTTTGTAGCGCTACATCACAGAGCAGTTCCCAGCGCAGCAACTGCCAACCGCCCCGGTGTCCCGGACGTAGGCTACTGCCGGACAAAAGAAAGGGTCGTCTGCCTCCTTTTGGTAAGCTGTACCGCTGTCCCCTGCAGTCCGACGCCGTCCGGGCGAATGCGCGATCACTGATCGTTTGAGAGACTATAGAGGCTGCCGGCGGCTGGTAATCACACACTGATGTGTATCAGGGAAAGGCGTAGAATGACCCGGGGATTCGGCGAGCCCCATGCGGCCGCTTGGCGGAGGAATGCGCGTCGATGCGCGCCGTGATCGCTGTGTCTTTCGTGGCATTGCGTTTCGGCTGTATTTTAGGAAGATATATACTGTATGTGCTATGTGCTATGGGTCGTGCGGTGCTGATAGATTATATCTCTAAAGATTAGTAGGGTAGCTCTAATAAAGGCGCATATGATGAGCTAGTTTTGTGTCTTTGTTAATTATACTGTTATGTGGTGAGTTTACATCTTATCAAAGAGCCCCACCCCAACGTGTTACAGATTAACAAAAACAACTCTCAATTAACGATTTATTATCAAAGTTTAAGTGACTGTCTCGTCGCATATTACTGTGCATGTAAACGATTTATATTTTTGGCTGTATGTAATTATCCTTTATAGTAATTTCAGCTGTCCGATCCTTCTGTGGGTTCTATTTAAGTCATTGCAACAGCTAGACTACTTGATGCTTCTAAAACGAAATACTTCTGAAACTATTTTAACACATTTGTTACATTACGCAGATTCTGCTTTGCATACATTTTAAATTTCGTCAAATGAGACAACCCTTAGCGCTTCGTTGCTCGATTAAGCCCACTTTTTTGTGGCTACTTTACCATTAGGGACTGTATTGAATCGATTTGTCATCTACCAATATTTTTTAAATAAATTAATTTAGCAAATTATGAATGAACGTGGTCCTGTTTATGCACTGAGGCCCAGTAAAGGTCGGACTGCGTGTGTAACGTGACCCCCGCTTCACACTTACAGTAAGTACAGTAATGATGATAAGACGTCGCTGTTCCTCTTTAAGATGGGCTTTAAACTTAATTTTTTCCAGTGAACAGAAAGCACGTTACTTTATTACATAACTCTGACCCCCATGCCAGGAAGCTGATTTGGTAAACACCGAAACTGCTTTGCTTCTTTTATTTCTCAATTTCAACCCCTTTTTCATCATATCAGTTTCGTTGCATTTTACCCGTTAGCTCCTTTTATGTAGAAAGGCATGGCGCCCTTTGCTGGAACTTAAAGTGATCTTTATCAAACGTTTTTTTATTATTAAACGTTAATTTTAGGTAGCCTATTTTTGTTTAGGTCTACATGTCTTTCTGTAGTGTAGTGCTTTATTTGAATGACGATGAAAAAATTATTGCCTATATAAAAATCTATTATCAGGTCATATTGAATCACAGATAAAATAACAAGCACATAAACAATGCCGATGACGCTTAGTTGCAGTGACAGAGTCGCGGTGAGGAAAGCGGGGCCGTGCAGCCCTAATTAAAGCCCCGGAAGGTGGGGATCCGCCTGCGGGTGGCGGGCTCCGGTTTCCGGGCTCCGGCCTCTGCCGCTCCGTCTCCTGCTTTCCTTTGTCCCACGTAGCTCGATAGGATGAACCGGATGCTCTTTGCGGGACACCCAGGCTAATGTGAGTCCTTCAAGGGACGAGAGCTGCTTCTTTTATCTTTAAAAGTCTTCATTGCGGAGAGTTTGGGCCTCCAGAAGTACAGGAAGACATAAAGTGCTCCGTACAGCCACCCGGGCTGCAGACACAAAGGAGTGAGGAGTCGCCGCACTTAAATGCGGGATCCGATTCTGCAACACATCAGCATCGGTTATGTCATCATTCATTTACATTTCTGATATTTCCTTTCCTTACTTCTGTGTACCTGCTCTAGCTGCATTGTCCTTCAGGGTTTTGCGCTGCCTGCAGCCCACGGGGACTTTTCCGGATCCGGTGTTCAGGCGTTGCTCTATAGCCCTGCCTGGTTTCACTGTTTCGCCTCTATAAACACTGTTTTTTTTAGCAAGGCTGGTATTAAGAAATTCAAAAGCTCACCCACAGGGTAGTTAAATAACAAGTCGTATTTTGGTGTAATATTGAAATGTTTGCAGCCCTGCTCCCCCCTCCCTTAGACAAGCAATACTTTCTGGCATTGTCTCTGTTTACCTCGTTCATGCCATGTCTTGTATAATGTAATGTGCCGTCAGTGTAAGTGGCTTCTTTGATACTGAGTTCTGGCTCACCAGCCATAGATGATCTTTTGACCTCCGTTTTAAAGCCGTCCCTTCAGATTATGGCAGTGACAAAAATATTCATTATCACAGACTCGCTGTGACACAGAATGGCACAGTGACACTGAGTATTCGCTTGTTCTGACATCGTTGGACACCAACACTGTCTGGGAATATAAGCTGGCTTCTCTTGCCCCCCCCCCCCCCAGGTTAGCGATGCTCATCTGCGTTTAGCCCCTTCCCCCTACCCCCCACGGCTGAGGATGTCCGCTTCACATTCTGGGGGTTCTGCCGATTGGCTGACTGGTGCCGATGGAGATGGCTTGTTTGGACCAGACCGGGAGCAGGTGTCGTCGAGGAGGATGACGCGGTCACCCACGTCAGCTCAGGAGCCGCACTGCGAGCCCCACGAGGCCCAGCAGGGGGGGCGTCGGGCCGTGGACTACAACAATGCCAGCTGCGGATGCCCGTCCAGCAGCACCTGGATCTCAGACGGGGATGGGCACGCCCTTCCAGGGTGCCAGCGAAACTCCGGGTCCCTCTGTCCCCCTGTCCCACGGGATGTGCTGCCGGAGAATGCCCGGCTGACCCGGAAGAGGCTCAGTGACTCAGTGCGGCCTGGGCAGTCGGAGTTGCCCACAGACGGGAACAAGCTGTTTGCTCACAAGGTGAGTCTGACTGGACCGGGAACTAGGAGTGTGAGTAAAAATAGCTCCTGACTGGCTTTTCCTCTGGAGAATTAATCAAGATTCACAAGTATTCCTCATGTGAGGGGAGGCAGGTGGTGCCTGAAGACGGACCCCCCCCCCACCGCTTCGCGTCTTCAGCTACTTGTTGTTTTACGTTAGGCGGCCAGTTTCTGCCACCTACTGTCTTTGTACTTCCTGTTTATCCATTTACTGGGGCAGAAAATGTATGTTTACTTGTTAAATAGCAGGAACTCTTGTCACGTGTAATTTGAAACTCACGTCTTTGGTCTATGTAGAAGGATCTTTGTTTCAGACGAAATGGCGATTTCATACAGGCATCTCTCGGTTCACAGTGCTCCGAGCTGCAGTGCTACATTCCCCCACTATCTTCCATCCTGAACGGTTTACGGTCCGGAAGATACCGGCAACGTAAGTGACTCACCGCTCATTGCGCAAGTGCCTATGCTGCTCTCTCCCCTCCCTCACATGCCCGCTTCCCAAACCCCATCAGCGACGTCCATGGCGGCATTGACAGCCGGTCCCAGGGACGAACCGAGGCAGAGTTAGGAATGTGGGCGGGGTTTCCAAGGTTGAGGGTGTGCTTGCTGTGCTTCGCAAGCTGCAGTCCCACCCTGCAGGGGGCGCCGCATCTTTAGGTAGTATGGCTAGAGCAACCTTGTGGTTGTGTTAGCCTGGCCTGCAGCATCGGCGGCTGTTTTCACAGCCCGCGGTGTCAGACCCGGCCTTCGCACTCCGGAGGCACGCTTGCGGGACCGTGTCAGAAATGGGTCCCGTTTCTGACGGGTGAGTGCTGGTGTGACCCTTCCTGGGACATTGGGCCTGATAGCGGTTTGGTAACACAGCATCAGAGCTTGTGGCGTAAATGGACGCCCTTTAAACCCCACGGTGGTCTGAGGATTTGGTTTCAAGAAGAAGTCAAAGCCCTGACTGTGTTCTCCCCCTGACTAGTTATATTGTACGTTTCTCCAAACTCTGGCTTCCACCATGAACTGGAGCACCTGTCAGGCTAAATGAGCCCCTCTGTGGAGAGTGTGGGCAGCAGGCGGCTTGTGGGGTCCGTGTCCCTGGCCTCACACCCCCCTTCCTCCCCCCCTTACTCATCCTGCGCTCCTCCAACCTGGAAGCTAACGGCGCTTTTTCCACTATAGCTAATTCAAACCAAGCAGGAAGCCGATATTTATGTAACTGGTTCCAGCTGCAGGTTGACGGGAGCCAGAATGCCGCTTGTCCTGGCCTCCTCACGGCCCCTCGCCAGCGACCCATGTCCCAGTTACGCAAGATGGGGGGGGGGGGGGGGTGATCACACACAGATCGCTTTGGATATGACTGTGGAAAATGTGGGACTTTTAGTGCTTTATTTTGAATTCACTGCCAAATGTGGCTGTATGACAACATGTAGCTTGGAATTATGGCTGTTACAAGCATTTCTAAATGGAAAGATTAAATGAAATCACCGGTTGAGCCGTAACACATGCCGGCGCACACGAAGCCGCCTCGCTGGCTAAACAGGTGTTGATATGTAGCTGCCACATTCTGCAGTAGCAGTTACGGAAGCTAACTGGCTAGCAGTGAGATTTAAAGCATTTTTGTAGGCCTCCCTCCCCGTCCCCGCAGCACCGGTGTGTTCCGGTATTGGTCACATGACCAAGGCCGTGTCCGCGCACCCTCAGGAACCCCTCATGCTGCATGTCCTGGCTCCTCCCGCGGAGTCACTCCTGCTCTGATGTGTCCCCCACGCAGGTCTCACCAGCTTCCAGGAGAGCGTGGCCATGGACAGGATCCAAAGAATCATGGGCGTCTTACAGAACCGTTGCATGGGGTACGTCCTCCCTTTGCCGCTTCCTCGTCATCCCTACCGGGACCCTTACCTTCCCGTTAGCGCATTTCATCGGCTTGACTGGCTGGTGGTCCTCCCTTGGGCCCTGGTCCCTCTCCCCCCCCCACCTCCGTGAGGTGCGACACACTTCTACATGATCAGTTCTCCTTTGATGTGACAGTATAATAAGAAATTACATCACTGCCTACCCCACCCCACAAACCCAAACACAATTATTTCCCAGCAGACTCTGCAGGATTATAGAAATGAATGGAGATTGTGTCTGTGTTGCATCATTCCACCGGAGTCAGACAGCAACACATCCCTAGCAGTCGATTGGCCAGCGCTGTCCGTGCTTCCCATCTGCCATTGGCCAGGCGTCCACCTACTGGAAGCGTCCCTTAATTTAGTGCCCCCCAGAGACAGGCCTGCCAGCTGCTCGCCGCGCAGAGTAAACCGTAAACGGGGTCTCGCGCGTCTCCCCGCGGGCTTGCATGACGGGCTGGGGAGTAGCAGCCGACCTCCTCCCACTGCACTCATCCAAACGCGGCCCACAGCAGCTCCGCACGGAGCCTTGATGGAAAGGATAAAATTCACTTCTTAAGCGGTTAATGTGCATAATGTATCAGAGGAGCGCGGCACAGGGCGAGCAAACAGCAGGTGGCGCTGCTCCCTGCAAAGCCGATTCATTCCAATTAACCATCTGTCTTGGAGTAATTGGAATTAATAGGCATTACAGATTACTTGGTGATGCCACCCCACCCTAATGGGCCTCTGGAAGGCTGCCTTGGCCGTGATTTTTCCAGTGAGCCTGGAGACCAACTTGTCACTCACATCTGTTTATTTTCAGTTTTATCTAATGTTTAAATACATCAACTTTGTGCTTTCACAGTGAGAAGTACGTCAGCATCATCTTGAAAGTGGAGGAGATGCTGAAAAACTGGTTCCCCAAAGTGAAGCCAGGAGAGCAAGGCGATATGGGGCAGGAGGAAATGGCCCTTCCCAAGAAGCAGAAGGTGATG